TATTTTCCATTGAAAACTTCAGTAAGTAGAATGTAAATTTGCTACGCTTGTATACTTAAATTTGTTGGCTATCAGAGATTTTATGACTCAATGTGATACATTTTTAAAAATAAAACAGGTGTGCATATTGGTGTGGATAAAACATTTGCAAATGTGGCAGTTCAAAGTGAGATTGCCGAGGAGATAGGAGCCTAAATTTTAAAGATCTTATGTGTTGCTGTTAAGGGTTTTTAGCTTAATATAATCTGATTGCTGTTTTGGACATAATTCTCCCAGTAAAAGGAAGACTACCTCAAAAGGCTTAGCAATTTAGCTTTGTTAATAATTAATTAATAATGATTTCAAAAGAGAAGCCTTATGGTAAACAAGTTACAAGAAGTATTGGGTAAATTAAAACAATTGCAGAGATGCCAAGTTAAAACTGAATGTCTAAGAGGAGAGCAGGCACTGGAAAGGAAGTGACAGAAGGAGTGCTGGAGGCCCTGCCTCTGGGGTCCTTCAGAATGGATCTTAATTTCACATCTGGCATGTTCTGTGGTCATGAAGTGTTTCCCATCTCTCATCTGTAAAGTAGGGATGACAGCACCTTCGTAGAGTCTGTTGAATTTCAAACATGAGAGCACATTCAAAAACTCGACTTCAGCTGGGTGTGCATAAACTTAGTGAGTGTTAGCTTGAACCAGGGGAGAAATAGTTGCTGGTAATAGTTCTAAGGCCTGCATTCCTAGAAAAGAGTGAAGGAGAGGAGATAATCTTTGGACTGCAGAGACAGTGAATTCTCCGTGGGCAGGAGGCACTGAATACATTATTCGTGTGTGTTTGCCCAATGCAGAAACATTGTAGGGCAGAGATTAGACTATAAATAGCCATTGGTATGCATGTAGACTGTAAAGTGGGGAATAACCTTGTCCTGTGTCTCAGAAGATTATGCAGATGAATAAAGAGAGAAAAATACTGCAGGAATGCAGACATTAAGAAAAAGGGATAACAGAGGAAATCAAGTATGAGAAATAAGATTTGGAAGAGTTGTTGGTAAACACTGATAAGCAACATTTGTGTGTGTGTGTGTGTGTGTGTGTGTGTGTGTTTCTTTGTGTGTTTATGTGCCTAGATTAAATGCAGTAAAGAATCAATCTGGCGCTTTCTCAGACAATTAGGAATAGCGCTTCCTCAAGATCCAGCTATACCACTCCTAGGCATATATCCAAAAGAAGCTCAAGTATGCAACAAAGATATTTGTTCAACCATGTTTGTAGCAGCTTTATTCATAATAGCCAGAACCTGGAAACAACCCAGATGTCCCTCAATGGAGGAATGGATACAGAAATTGTGGTATTTTTACACAATGGAATACTACTCAGCAATCAAAATCGAGGAAATCATGAAATTTGCAGGCAAATGGTGGGATCTAGAAAAGATCATCCTAAGTGAGGTATCCCAAGAGCAGAAAGACACACATGGTATATACTCACCTATATAGACCAATATAAGATAGGATAAACATACTAAAATATGTGCACCTAAAGAAGATAAACAAGAAAGAGGACCCGGGGTAAGATGATCAATCCTCACTTAAAAAAACAAATGGGATGGACATGGGAAGTAGGAGAAAACAAGCAACAGGACAGGGGGTCACAGAGGGCCTCTGAAAGACTCTATCTAGCAGTGTATCAAAGCAGATGCTGAGACTCATAACCAAATCTTCGGCAAAGTGCAGGGAATCATATGAAAGAAGGGGGAGTTAGTATGACCTGGAGAGGACAGGAGCTCCACAAGGACAATATATCAGGGCACGGGGGGCCTCTATGAGACTGTTTCTCCAACCAAGGACCATATATGGGTATAAGCTAGAACCCTTGCTCAGATGTAGCCCATGGTAGCTAAGTATCCTAGTAAGGGAAACAGGAACTATTTCTGACATGAACTCAATGGCTGGCTCCTTGACCTCATCCCCCCAGCCCCCGAGGGAGGAACAGCATTGCTAGGTCACAGAGGAGGACATGGCAGCCAGTCCTGAAGATACCTGATAAGCTAGGGTCAGATGGAAGGGGAGGAAGACCTCCCCTAGCAGTGGACTTGGAAGGGGCAGGGAGGAGATGAGGGAGGGAGGGTGGGGTTGGGAGGAGATGAGAGAGGGGGCTATGACTGGGATACAAAGTAAATAACCTGTGATTAATATAAAAAATAAAAAAATAATAAAAAAAGAATCCTCACACAAGGCACCAAAAAATGCACTGGTGAAATGAATGAACTCTTAGTTACCAGTACCCCTCAGTGTCTCATTAGGAGAAGAGACCAAAGCACATTCTCCAGGGTAGGTTAGCCAAGAGCAAGCTTGAGTTTCAGCCTCTACTCTCCTCTTTGTCTTCACTCTCTCTGTACCTTATGATTTTTCTAATAAAAGCAGTCTGTCCGTTGTATGAGTCTAAACCTTTGTCCCTACGCATGCATGAGTGCTGTTGTCTTCCTGTTTGTGTTTGTGTGTTTCCCCCACTAAGGTTTTCCTGTGTCTTCATTAAGTAGCACAGAAAGTATCACATAGGGAAGAAGTCAGGGATACTTTACAGAAAATATATTTAACATGTTTTCTTACAATAAGTGAAGCGTTACCAACTGCAGATTAAATGCAGTAAAGACTGCCCAGATAACAATTAGCTCAGCACACATCACTGCAAACAGACATACCAACCTATATCCATATTGCTTCCAACATTTATGGAGGTTGTTGGTTTTATAAGGCTACGTTCAACTCCTTTGCCATCCTCAGCATTTATTACTATAATAGACATACATACATACATGCATACATTGCTCTGGGTCAGGGGTATTGGATAGAACGTAATTTATGATTATTGCCATGTATTAACTTAGAACAGTTAATTACATGGAGAACCAAGGCAGTAAGGTTTACTGTTACATTGTCCTCTTAAAAGCAGGTTAAACAAGCAGGCTGAGCACATAGTAGGCTAGCAGCCCTAAGTGACCTCGAGGTGTATTACTAACTCTGGCTGCGAGGCCCAGCAAGAGTGACAGCCTCTTAGAGATATTTTCAAAATAATGTGTCACCACACTTATGTGTCCTTCGCGTGTCTCAAGTTTGTGCATGCGTGAGAACAGAGGATAATGTTCCTTCCTCAGTTGATCCACACCTTAATTTTAGAAAGGTTCTTTCATTGGATCCAGAACTCACAAATTTGACTAGACTGAGTGGGCAGCAAATCACAGGATTTATGTGTCTCTGCTCTCCCACTGGAAGGATGACATGCACACACTATCACATCTGACTCTTCACATGTGTTCTGAGGAGCCAAACTCGGGTCCTCATGCATGCGCAACAAGTTACTGACTCAGTCATCTCCCCATCCTAGTAAGGAGAAACATTAAGAGCCATGAGCATGCTCAGATATGATAAGGCTATAGCATGCTAGCGTGGCCCCTTGTTTTAGCTGCTAATGGGGCAACAGAAATCTTGGTATTTCAGGAGGTCAGAAGCCAGAAAGTGTAGATGATGTCAAACATGAGAAAGGCAATCTGGGATGCCACTGGACATGGATGATTGTCCAGTGAGGAAACCAAGATTTGAGAATGTAATTAAATAAGATTTACCTGAAAGAAAAATAAAATATGGGAGAAGTGTCACACACAAGAGAACAAGTTCTCTGAGGAACTGGTTCTTTTTTGGTTTTCCTCTCAGCTAAGTCGACTTTGTGAATCCAAAAAGATGAATTACTGTTTTTGACATTGACTTATGTGAGATGGGTTTTAAACATCATGGGAAAATGTTTAGTTCCGTGGAGCATCCTTTCCTTGTACGGTTTCCTAAAAGCAATAACACAATATGTAAAGAACTCAGAAAGAAATCAATCTGAGGTGACATGTCTAGAGATGTTTCCTCTGTCAGCAATGTAAACAGCCTTCTGTGATGGTGTTTGTTATTAGTGCTGCATCTAGGAAGAATGAAAAACATGCCTCACACAGAGAAAGCAGTTTTCTATTTCCAGTTTTCCAAACAGGTAACAGAGTGATTTCATCTGCCTACCAAGTTGTGGGTGTGTAGTGTGCATGTGTGTGTTTAAGGAAACCCGGGAGAATGAAAAATATGCAAATATGTGTAACAAGAATTTTAACCTTTCACAGCCTATTCACATCTGGGGGTTAGGAAGCAAAAATCTCTGACTAGAAGTAGTTCCAGGTTGCAAGGCAGGAGCTTGCTTTCCTAAGTGTACTCCTTCCAAGTATTGCCACCAGGTCGTGTCCCCACACATGACCCCATAGGCGATATTTCCACCTAACAGAACAATCTCTCAGGAAAACTTCATTAGAGTGTTCTGCTCCAGGGGTGGATTCAGAGCACCATACGATTAATACTCTGAGGGTTAGGAAGAATCAAATGAGTAAAGCACACAATCACAAGGACAAGCCGCCCAAGGCAGACAAGCTACACAAAGTAAAACCATGCTTTTCCATAGAGGCATAGAAAGAAATAAAAATAGCCAGTTGTAGTGAGTAATCTGAGGTAAACTCAGTCCTATCCACTACGCCTGGGAGAAGCATAAAAACATATTCCAGGAACAATTCCGTGTTTTGTAGAAACTGAGGCCACAAAGCTCTTGTCTTATTTTCTTCGCATTTCTCACAAGCCCTCAGAATTCTCCTCACATGGCTACACTTGTGGTCCACTCTCCTTGCCCATTTATTCTTTAAATGCAGGACCTTGAGAGTGGATTTTATTTGAGATGTTGTAGATAAATCTAATTGACATTTGATGCATGAGTAGCCTACAAACAAGCAAATTATAAACATAATTCATAACATTAGAACAGGGATCCAAACTAAGTCCAGTACTGTTTGTTACATTAGCATTCTGATCAGGAAAATATAGAGAATAGCTTTAAAAGAGACCCACATGAATAGTAGTTCTGGTACCTTGTAGAACATAAGCCAATATTTGCCTTTAATAGGAATGTAAATGTTATGGTGTCCTATGAGAACGGGAAATCTTTTCCCCGGAGGTGTTGCAGGTGTAGCTGCTGTGACACACATGTGTCAGTGGTGGCAGAGAGAAGCGAGTCTGCATCTACACTCAGTGTTCTGACCTGGGAGCAGCTGAATGATTAGTAGCTTAACTCCCTGACCAAAACAAACAAACAAACAAAGAAACCCCTGAGACGACCAGCAGTCCAGCACTGCATGCTTAGGGGGCAGAAGGCTTGCAAGTGTGGCTGGTAAGCTGGGCCCAAAGGCGTAAGAGTGGGGACGTCAGCGGGTGATGGGCTTAGATACCTCTCAGCCCAGATCCAGGCCTTCGAGTTGGCCCACCCCAACATCTAACCCATCAGTCAGCTGCTGCAGTGCATGAAGGGCTCTGTCCTACAGATCCAAAACTACAGAATCTCCGTGACACAGGGAAACATCAGGATATCTGAGAGGAGTCTCAGTGAGATTTCAGTATTGCTAGAGTAGCAGAAGCCAGAGGCCCCAGACCAGACCAATAAGTCATTGCAAAGAACATTTGCAGGCAAAGAAGTGTAGACAAAACAGAACGCTGTGGGACACAACTACAGTTTCCATAATGAGACTTATTTTCTCTGATGGGGGAGCGTGTTGCAATGGTGGAGGGCAGGAAAGAGGGGAGGGAGAGATGAGTGGGATTGGGGTGCATAATGTGAAATTCACAAAGAACCAATAGAAAGTTTGTTTCAGATGTTGAAAATCGTGCTTCATGCATAGCAAGGCGGCTCAGTGAGTAAAGGCGCTCGCCACCAAGCCTGACAATGTGAATGTGGTCTTTGAGACCCATGTGGTAGAAGACAGAACTGAGTCTCACAAGTTCTCCACTGACCTCCATAGGGGTTTTGTCACATATGCATTCTATTCCATATACATACATACATGCATATATACTTACATATAAACATACATATAATAATTAATAAGCAAATATAACAAAAATTTAAACTGTATTTCAACACACATCTATTGAACCTGCAGCAGTAAATTTGAATACCTAATGTCCTTGGGGCTGGAAGTATACAGGTAGAGCCCTTGCCTAGCATGCAAGAGGCCCTGGATCCACAATCTACAAGTTGAAGCAAAGGAGAATGAGGAACATAAGCCCAATAGCACTCACAACAGACACACAAGTCAAAGCAGCTAGCATTGCCAGAAGGAGATTCTCAGGTGGCATGGGGCTCTGTATGTTTTGTAGAATAAGTTCTCCCTTGGTGCACAAGGCCTTAATTTGGTCCCAGGTGGGCAGACTTGACTTCTGATGATAGGGTCAATATCTCCTTCTGCCTTTTAGATGGAAGTTTGCTATCTTTCTGGTGAATTCCAGTGTCTCCTTACCCTCTGCCATCATACTTGATGGCCTGGGGCTGGAGGAGCCGAAGAGGAATCCATAATGTTCCAGTGGATCCATCTGCAATGACAGATGCATGCCCCTTCCCAATTTTCTTCTAACTTAGGGCAAGTTAATGAATCAGCTTGCTTATTTCCTTCAGTAAAATGGAAGGTTAGAGTGTGCAAGAATGTGAATCTATTGCTGGAAATAATCCTACAACACAAGCAGAATCTGAAACTCTATTTAAGGTTTTTATATAAATTTGAAACTATGAATTAACCATAATAGATGAATCAAAACAGCTAGTACCAATTGTTGGGCTGAGGAAAAAAAGCACTAATAGATTAATGAATATCTGGACCATTACCTCCTATTTTAGTAGATAAGCTATCAATAAAATAAATATCTGTCTGTGTAATCAAAGAGAGTTGAACAATTTTTGTAATCACAAATTTGGTTCCTATAAGAGAATCTCAAAAACAACAGAGCCAACATACCAGGGCCCAGGGTGGTCTGCAGAGACCAATACTCCAACTAAGCACCACACATGGAGAGGTTGTAGACTGTCTCCTTCATCCCCCCCCCCGCCCCGTTCAAAGGAAGCCCATTGGCTGCTCGGTTTCTAAGTGGGTTCCCTAGTAAGGGTTACAGGGGCTGCCTTTGACATGAATTCAGTGGCCAGCTCTTTGATCACCTATCCCTGGGGGATGTAGCCTTACCAGGCCACAGAGGAAGATGATGCAGCCAGCCTTGATGAGACCTGATAAGCTAGGGTCAGATAGAAGGGGAGGAGGTCCTTCCCTATCAGGGGACTAGGGAAAGGGCATAGGGGGAGATGTGGGAGGGAGGGTGGGAATGGGAAGAGATGAGGGAGGGGGCTGCAGCAGGGATACAAAGTGAATACATTGTAATAAATAAATATATGCCGGAGCCCACCGGCACAGCTGAACAGTTCTTGAGTGGGGAGTGAGGACGGAAAGAAAGTAAAAAACCAACACACTACACGTGGGATCTGTTAGAGAGGGCTGCCAGTAGAAACTGTCACTCTGGTTTATTCTGCAGTCCCTTTTTATAGTCAGAGCAAAGCACCTCAATACAATGAAGGGGTTCATGGAGAAGTCAGACTTGTTTACCTCAACCACCTGTCTGTGTAATCCTCACACAAACAAAAGGAAGTGAACTTGGTAAAACATCCTGCCTATCCCTGCCTCCAGGTGAAGGCCAGGGTGAAAAAATGTTTTTCTCTGAGAGTTCAATAACAAAGCAGCCTGACAAATAAGTGGCTCTCCACAAATATATAAATAAAATTAAATTAAAAGACAAACAAACAAACAATAAATAAGAGAACCTCATAGCTTACCAGATGGGTAATGCTTTCCCATCGTTCCAAAGTAATCTGCAATTGAAATTTGGAAATCTATACAGTTCTGTAGTGCTCTTAAGAACTGATGGTTAATTAGGATCATATAATTGTTAACATTGGGTGTCCCCCCCCAATTTATTAAGTGAGCAAGAAGAATAAGAAGCAATTACTATTTTATGGCCCTTAAGGTGTAAATAAATAATTCCAATGGTTCATCCTCTTGTGCTATGATCCTCGTAGGAGACAATTTAGTGGGAAAAATAAGTCAGTTTAAATGCAGTGAAGACTCTGCTTGATGCACAAATGCCTCTTTTAGCCTGGATTCAAATTACTGTAATTCTTTTCTTGCACCTCAAGATAATATGTGAGGGACTGTCCAGCGTCATCTCTTCTAGAGTTTTAAGTAGACTGGTTAGCTCTTTGGAGATACCAAGCACAGGTCCTGAGGAATTAAGAAACATTTATTTTCACTGTTCTGCCCTAGCTTGCCTAGATTATAAAGTTAGCTTTTTCATAGGTTCTCTCATAAGTTTTCAGCAAAGAGTGGAGAGTCTTAAAGATTACATTGATTGTCAAGTTCCTCTCCCCATGTTTCAGGGTCATCTGCAGACAATGGAGAACACATATCGAAAGGAGGAACTGTCTCCAGCATTATTGATGGCACTGTTTTTACTTTTGATTTTGCCTGACCAGGAAAATAAATCTTCTTTCTGTCCTCTTTTACCAATTTTAAGATTTGATAATCCACTTATAGCCATTCAAGGAATTAGCCATCTCTTCCTCATGATCAATATATTCTTTATCTCCCGTAAGAATTTTGATAAGTCTGAGTTAGTGCCCAACGGTCCCAAATGGAATGGGGAAATTCCCTTGTTTCTCCGCCTTTCCAATAGTCTTTCCGACCCTGTACCAGACGCCTTCATGTAAAGGTTTCCTCTGGGAATCAGAGATTATAAGTATGAACAACAGATGCTGGGGAGGATGTGAAGAAAGGGAGCCTTGTTCAGGGTTGTGAGGATTGCAGACTGGTGCAGCCAGAAATCAGTGTGGGAATTATAAAGGACCTAAAATAAATTGACTATGGCTCAGCCATACTACTCCTAGGCCTATGTCCAAAGGACTCAGCATTCTACTCTACAGATACTTGCTCAGCCATGTTCATGGCTGCTCTATTCACAATAGCTAAGAAAGGGAATCAATAAAAATTTCCTTCAACTGATGAATAGATAATGAAACAGTAAATACTGTACAAATACACAATGGAAGTATTGGGCTGTAAAGAAAGATGAATTTATATAAATTCAGGTAAATGGATGTAACTAGGCAAACCATAACCAGAAGGACAAGTGCTATAGTCTCTCTAATATGTGGTCCCTAGGTCCAAATACTCAGCTGTGAGCATATAACTGGAGTCACTGCAGAAACAAGGAAAGTAATAAGGGACCATGGAGAGGATGAGTTCTAGAAAGGAGAACAGCAGTATACTGGTTTTATGAAGTGGGAAATGGGGAAAATGGGGTAGCAAGAATTTGGAGGAGAGGAAAAACAATCCAGAAGAAGGGGAAAGAAGGGACAAACAAGACTAAGGGAGGAAAAGCCATAGTGAATCATATTATTCATATACAACATACATATAAGACATAGTTTAAATTAAACTTTATTTTACCCTCAAGAGCCACAAATTATCAAAATGCGTACACACACACACACACACACACACACACACACACACACACACACACA